TTTGCCAAAAACTTCAAGAAGGACTTATCTCTATCACATGTTCCAACCACTTCACAACATGCTGATGTTTTTACCAAGAATCTACCATCTTCAAAGCATCAAGAAGCTATTTCCAAGCTGCATGTAGTTCCCTACCCTCCAGCTTGAAGGGGGTGTTAGTTTTTACTATTAGATAATTGTTATAGACAATTTTAGATGGTAGTTAGATAGAAGGGTATTTTCGTCCTTCTTATATTATGAGTTAGTTAGTTCGTTTGTTCTTCTCTTTCTGTATATGTATGTATTCATCATCATTATTGAATACAAGTTTCTAAATCAATTTCAAACAAAACTTTTTCATTCTCTCAAAATCAACAAACCTCGGATGAATAAAGGAAAGATAACGATAGGAGATTACTGGGTGCAAAAGGCCTTTCTATTAATAAGCAAAAGAACGTACTCAATTGAACTTAAAAACAATTAGAATCCTAATTGAACTCTATATGCTTACTTTTCCATGGAACACCGGGTTCTTAAAAAATTCTATAAATGGCTTGTTATCTAGGTAAAGAGTATTAAATCTTCAACCAACCGACGAATCCATATTGCTTGACATGTGGCAACCATTCACTCAGTTTCACAAGGAAAGAGTGCAACACATCTTTGCTTTTGTGATGACCAGGTCACCAAATTATCATTCACATAAAACACCATTCCTCCTATATTTCTCTTATCAGCTAAATCTCTAGCAGGATCACTATCCAAGTAACTTGAAGCTTCAACTTTCTTGACTTCTCTAGGCCAAAATCAATGGTGCCTTTTACATACCTTAAAATTCGCTTTAATTCCTGTTGGTCTTTCCACGAATCAACTCACCACCCCAACAACATATGCGATGTCAGGTCGAGTTAAATATCTCAATCCAACAACAATGCTTCTAAACTTGGTAGGGTCAACTGGTGTTCCTTGCTCATCTTTGGTCAGCTCAATCATTGGTTCCATTAGATCAGTCATGCCTGCTTCTTTAGTAAAAAATTTTAGTAAGCACTTTGCTTCAAGCTAATACCATCTCCTTATTGTCTTACTTCAATATCCAAGTAGAATGACAAAAGACCAAGATCACTTATCTCAAACTTTTTACTCATTTGTTGCTTAAAAATACTTGATTCAGCCTTGTAATCACCTATTACAATGAGATCATCCACGTAGATCCTAATTATCAAAACTCGCATACTCTTGAGGGCATCTAAAAAATTTTAGACCTTTTTGGCATTTTTCAAGACAAGAATTCCAAGCTCTAGGAGCTTGATGAATGCTATAAGTGTGTGCCTTGGACAGCTTGTACACACCTTGCCTGGATTATTTTGTTAATTTGTTATATATATATATATATATATATATATATATATATATATATATTATGATTTTGACTTTTTACTTAATATTAAATCTAATAAATTAAATTTAACTGTTATGACAGTTAATTTCGATTTAGCAGTTTTTGGAGGGAAATGCAGTTTTTAACTGCCAATGACAACCTATATATATGGATCACCAAACACAGATTTCAAGAGTTGGAGAAATCACATTCTTCTTAAATTCTTATTCTTCATTCATAATGGGAACATAGAGGATTTCGTCAGAATCAAGATTCTTTCTTTCCTGATTGTTGTATCCTCTGGATAGATCCCTACCAGGGAATTTTCTGTCTTAGGACACTGCAAAAACAGACCTCAATCTATACAAATTCGTGATTGTATTTTCTGTGTTATCAACATTCAAGTATGTTTTCTGTAAACTAGTTCTTGTATATTACATTCAATTGAATTTCGTTTGTAGTATTTCTATTATTTTGTTGATTGTATACTTCTGTCATAACATATATTGCTTTACATATTCCTTCGGTCGTGTTACATACACTTCTTCTTCCAACACACCATTCAAAAACGCTGACTTTACATCAAGATGATGTACCGACCAACCATTCTTCTCAAAGAGAGAAGAGAGAGAGAGAGAGAGTATAATTCTAATTGTATGCAAGCAACATGTGCATTCCTCAAATTCTATATCAGGTTTTTTGACATACCCCTTCGCAACAAGTCTTGCTTTTTACTTTAGCATTTTACCCACTGAATTTTTTTTTCAGCTTATAAACTCGTCTTAGTATAGTTAGCTTTCGATTTGGAGGTAGCTTGACAAGTTTCCAGGCTTGGTTTCTTTCAATCACATCAAATTCTTCTTCCATTGCTTTTACACAATCTTTGTTTGGGTTTGTCATTACTTTTCATAACGAGCAACTCATTGAATAGTAGTTCATTAGTTTCCTCATAAATATTACCTAAAGCCGTGAAGGTGTGGGAGGTGAAATCGGTCCACGTAAATAATCATGCACGAGTTCTAACACATAAGTTATAATCTGGTTGTCACTCTAAAACTTGCTTGTAAATGATAGGATTTAATTGCTTGCTTACTAACCAGACAACATATACACAACATATACAGACATCTATGGGTTGTTCAATGTTGGGTAATCGAGTATTAATTCTTTCTTTGACAGGTGTTTTAGGGATGGAAATTTTACATGGCCTAGCCGAGCATGCCATAGCCATGGCGGTTGTTTAGCTTTTCCGATCAAACATCGTGAAACATCTTCATTCAACAAGATTTAATAAAGGAGATTTGAGGAGCAATTTACCTTCATTAAAAGTCTTTCATTCTTGTCGTGAACTCAAAGAAATGACCCATGTATGACAATTTTATCATCGTATTCAACAAGTTGTCCTAAACTTATGATGTTACTATATAAACTAGGTATGTAGTATACCTCATATAGCATGTGTTTTCCCCTATTTTTGCACCAGATAACTCGACCCTTTTCCTTCTATACGAACTTTTGAGCCGTTACCAAAATTCACTTCAATCAAGTTTGAGAAATTTCTCATTATCATGTGATTACTAGCGCCATTATCCAAGTACCATATTTTCGAGTTGTTTCATCACATGTAGTTCTTAGTTTTGGCCTTACTCTTTTCTCGCTCAAGTAAACTTCTCCATGAATGTTACAAGTGTTGCTTGTTGCTAGCAACAAGGTTGGTTCATCAGTGTTTTTTGGCCTCGAGCCAAATTTGCTTCTTGGTTTCTCTCACATTGTGGATTTTTACATTCAGCGACATAATGACCAAAACTTTGACAATTGTAACATTAGACCTTGCTTTTGTTTTGATTTGATGATGAACCTTGACCACCTTCCTGGTGTTGGTGGAACCAGCACCACGACAACCACCCTGTTAGAACTATTGTCGCTTCTTCCACGACCATAAGAGTTGTTCCCTCCGGAACAAGTGTTACCTTGCGTTTCTCGTCCATTCTTCTTTGACCTTTTGAGCCACTCTTGATGAGTTAATAACAACTTTTTCTCGGTGTTGTCAATAGCGACCATAGTGATCGCTATAGCGAATAGCGAGGCGAGGCGATGTAGTGTTACTATAGGGTTCATAGCAACTGAATAACGACATAGCGACCTTTTTAATATATATATATATATATATATATATATATATATATTAAATCTGGTATAAGTAGACCCTTTTTAGGGTTTTTAGTTGACTAAGTCAAAGAGAGCATCGGCTATCTAAAATTAACACTTGTTTTTTTTTTTGTTTTTTTTTTTGGTAATATGCGTGTTTTAGAACTTACTTTATAATTGCTAATTAGGTGAAGATAAAAGTAATATTAATTTTCAATAGAAATTCGCTAAAAATGAAATAGCCGTCGCTATTTCATCGCTATCGCTACATAGAATATAGGTAGTTTGTCGCTATTATCTCGCTATCACTATCAATAAAACTGCTTTTTCTCATCAACTTTGGTTTGACCACACCCTTTCATCATGAGCTTTAATCTCCCAATAACCTTCTCGGCAGTCATCGTTTCAAGATCTGCGAATTGCTGGATTGTTAAAGCAATTTGCACGAACTTACCTGATACAACATCAAGTAACTTTTTCACAACATATTATTCGTCCATGGTATCTCCCAAGGATCAGATGCTACTGATCACCACGTTATTAACCTTCATGGCAAAATCATCTATAGTCTCCGATTCCTTTGTATGTAGGATATCACATTCTGCCTTTATCTGCCTTTAGGGTTTGGACCTTTATAGTCCTTACCCTGCACCCATGTACATCACCATCAACATTTCCCATGCTTCCATTGTCGTTCTCTTCTTCACAATTGACTACAAGCCTTTCGGGATTCCTTGATAGATGGCGGCTAGAGCCTTCTTGTCTTTCTTCACAAACTTCTTGAGCCTTCATAAAGACCTTCACCTTTATGGCCCATGCTGCATAATTGCTCTTGGATAACATATGGTAATGCATCTTTACATAATTAGAATCCTAATTGAACTCTAAAAACATGTACGGAATGAACTTACAAACTAAGGAAAGGAAACTTTCCTATGTTTGCTTCTGATGCGAAATATTCAACACAATCATCTAAGGAAATAAGGACCAATAAGAAGTTGGCTACCAAATACATCCTTCCTTTCATGTAAGCACTTTGGCCTTCATCCCTCGTTGGTGGAAGTTTTTTACACTAATGCCTAATCATTTAATTAACAAACCGAAAGAAGACCTATAATTGCTACGGAAGTAACGAAGCAACAGCAACAGCAACACTCTAGGCTTTTGTGGTTTAGGGAATTATAAGTGATAATGGGTAATAACTGGTGGCCTAAATCATGTCCCAAATATATCCAACAATTTCCAATGCAGACTACGTAGAAAACCCATAGTGAACAAATTGTATTATCAGTTCAAATTTTGGATTTAGTTTTTTTGGTTGAATTCAAATGCATATATTAGTTTCATTGTGGATTGAAGTTACATTCTTGAGTTCTTATATAAAACTAAATGTGATAGAGAGGTTGAAATTACAAATGGATTGTGGAAGGAGATGGAAATGTACCAAAAAGAAAGGTAATTTATGCCAAAAAGAACGAGTAAAGAATATACTTACTTCCATATTGGGAAAATCGTAGGGTCTAAAAGTTTCCAGCTCCATAAATGACACGTCTAAGTACTGTGTCTGACGATATTTTCTCCATCCTTTTAACCCTATATATATGACAGAGTATGATATAACGATGTGTTAGCATTTGCAGCTTAATCTCAACTAAAAGCATCAACTCAAAGAGGAACTTACCTGTGGCGTCACCAACTAACATCTTTAACCAATCAGGGATTGTTGACTTGAAGAAATCACGGCGGCAGAGATAGTACTTTCCTGTAGTCAACTCAAATTCAGATAAATCTCCTCCAATAACTTCTTCCACTTTCGTGTAATTTTTTCCTTTTTCTAACTCTACTTCACCATCCATGTACACAAGGCTGGCACTACACCCGCTTACCATTAATCCATTCCCCACAATAACGGACACACTAACTTCATCACCAGTGTCTAACATGTTTCCAATTGGCCAATAGCTTAACCACACAGCATCTTCACCGAATCTAGGTTTGCAAGAGACCACAGGGTTGTACATCCAAGTAAGGCCCTTGGTTGTATTACTGATTTTGGTGAACAAAACCCATGTATCTTCATCATCACCTGATGGTCTATATAAGGAGGTTACATTTAATCCTTGGATTCTTCGATTCTTAGGACAACAAGGCACATGAAAGGATAAGAACGGAGATGATGACATATAATTATCGGACTTTCTAATGCTTTGATCCTGTATGTGTGGCAGAAATGTGCTCACAATACCATATTCGAACAACACCTAGACACACAAATTGCAGAATTATCCACTTATTCATATATTTGATGTGTCCTTGTGTGCTTATATATGTATGTATTTGTGTGTGTGTATATATATATATATATATATATATATATATATATATATATATATAGAGAGAGAGAGAGAG